CTGTTATAAAATAGGGAATTCCCAGTATCTAGCCAAATCATGTTAAGGAAATTAACAAACCAAAAACAAATGTATATGAGGCGTGGATTCCAAGCTGGGACCTTTTTCATCGCCCAAAGTGATAACCGCTGTTTAGGTCGTTTATTTAATTTGTTCAAGGGTTCGATTGAAACAGGACATTACAATAACGTGACCATACGTCCCGCTTTGAGCAGGACAGACCCGCTGTCCCCAAAATACATAAAAACAGGACACACACACTTGTGTGTGGACAACAAATTTAAAAAAAGGCGCTAAAGCGAAAATTATGAAGTATTTAAGTGTTTTATTTTTAAAACAATTAGAAAGTTACAGGTGTCCCGCTCTAACGAAAAAGAATAATGGTGACGTTATTTATACATTTTATAAAAACGGCGATAGCCTAAAGGGGGAGCGGTTTCTTCTCAATTGACGGTTCGAATCTCTGTGGCGGTATGTACCTATGACGTTAATATGTAAGTCATGTAACATTTCGACACCTCCTACGTAAAGTATCGTATGTCGAAATTGCCAAGTTTACAGGGGAGCGTTTTCAAGTTCTGAATTCACCGAAAGAGTGATCACCATAGATCATCTAACCGATATCTAGGATTTTATAATACTCTATGTGAGTAATGAGCTTTGCCGAATAAAACTGAGAAATGCTAAAGTCACGTGTTATGTTCGTGTCAGTGAATTCAGAACTTTAAAACGCTTCCCTGTAAACTTGGCAATTTCGACATACGATACTTTACGTCGGAGGGGTCGATTTGTGAATGATAGTAGCAACATCTCTCGCCAAAACGAACGAAAACGTCGTATTGAAACTTACACGTCGAAGAAGGTTCATAATCTTTGAAACGTGTGAAGTCCCGAAGCCGCAGGCGGCAGACAATGACCTAAGCCCTCTGCTTAGAGGAAACCCGTGCAATAGTGGGACGTAAAATGGGTTGCCGATGATGATGATGACTATATCTTAGTGGTTTCCGTAATGAGATTTTTTTATATTTTGTGGTATATTTTTTAAAACCTTACATTCCTAAATAGGTTTAGAAACGTTTATTCATTAATTAAGTCACCATACACAGTTCATCTAATACTAAATACTAAAACAACAAGTGAGTGAGCAAGCGCGTGCGCATTTTCCTACAGGGTCAAGAGCACGTCAAGCTTGATATGAAAGGCTTAAATTTAACTCTATGACGCTTGCAATAAGAACGGTCCAAAGTGACAAGCTTGATGTGCTCTTTGACTGTATACTCAATTTTTTAGAATGATTAAATAGTATTTACAATTTTTATTTATCAACAGTACATTGGTTCGATTATGAATACAAACATCTAACACTTAAAAAAATTCTTTGATTCGGCTGGATTCGGAGCAACGTATTCCAGCAAACCGTGACAGATGCTATGCCAACTAAGCCACGGGACGAACTAGTGGACCTTACGAATTCTTCTATAATGCTTGTTGCAAATCATTGTTTTTGGTTTTTAACGACTTTTTTGCAGTAGCGCTATCTGTGAGAAATCTACGAAAGCTTTTCGTCACTCAGCCAGGTACCTGAGGTGTGGGACTGGTGAGCTCTAATACAGTCTCTCACGACGGATACATTTAAAATTATTTGTCTATTATAATATAAATGTACATTCCTTGTGTTGGCAAAATAAAGCATTTTTTTATTAGTAGTGGCGCTAAAGAGGAAAAGGATAAGACTCGGCAATACATATGTCTATCTCGGACAATAGATTTTGGTTTTCAGAGTTTAACAGTCCATTACAATTGATTATTGCACAAATTACTTAATATAAGACGCGAGTCGATCGTGATAGATCGAATCAAAATGATTCGAACAGCACCTGTGACCCTATAACCCGGGTTACTAGCTTCTAAATAACCCGATAATTTTAGAGTTTCATGGGTCATGCGCGCAATACTCGACTTTATCTTTATATCGAGTTCTTAGGTTTTCGCGATTGTTACACATAGGAAATGAAACTATTTTTCCGGATTTAAATCGCGTACCATCTCAGTCAACCGTGACCATGGGACCTGTAAAGGGCCCGAAACGTCGGTTTGTTTGAAAAAACAAATATACGCGATTTAAATCCGGAAAAATAGTTTTATCTATATAATATTAGAGATTATTCAACAATTCACATAACACTCGGTCTAAAACTGACAATATTATTGTTGACTCGTTCACTCTCACGTGAAGTCCCCATTCACGACACGGTTCGCCTTTTCACTCTTCGTTTGGATTGGAACATTTGTTCGATAGTAGTCCAACTCCCGTAGTCCAACTTACCAACACCGGTTAATGTCCTATTAGAGCTTAGCCAAAATTTTTTTTTGTTTCGTTTTTTTTCTTTCAACTGTGACATTGGCAAAATCATCAGTTCTCATATTGATGGAGGCATAAAAATAAAAAGTGAAGTGATAGAGCATTTGTTGGATATAACCTACGTTCAATCGAACCAAAAGGTCAAGCAATCGATCAACGAGTCAACGAGTTTAATGGGTCAACGGATCAATGAGTCTATCAATCATTCGTCCTAATTGCTCCGTGGCGTAGTGTCCATTTTTTACGGTATGTTATGATTATTTATGAGTGCAATAGCTAATATTAAAATATTAATGAACAATAAATTAGTAATTACGAACGCTCATAAGTTTTTTGTTATGTATTTTTGTTTTGTAGGTGTTACTTTTTCTGGAAACAGATTTTAGTGCACTAAGTGTGGTTTATCAATGATGCATTTAACTTTATACACATTACCCATCAGCAGGCAAGAATAAAATCTAATTCTCTAATTTGACACTTTTAAACGCCATATGGAAGTATCGTGAGCTTTGGGTGACCCGCTAAAAGGTCGAACATATGATCGAACCATTTGACTCGATCATATTACGCATGGGTCATGATCGATCCGGGTTATCAAAAATGATCGACCGACATAGGTCTACTTAATATAAATGAAGTATTGTCATGGCGATTGTATAACATAAGTTTATCAATGCTAAATAAATATAAATAAAATATAAATGCTATCTACCTAATTTTTTGTAGAATTCCATCTTAATATTTGTTGGATATACAGTAAGCTGTAAAGGCACAACTGAGTAAGAATCCGATTCTCTATCATAAAAAGTTATACTTGATGTTTATAACCTGCCCACGGAACGAAAAAGACAACACACTACGATTTTTATCAAAATTGAGTTATATGCATAAAAGTGTGGGTATGTATGTACAGTTTTTTTTCCCCTATGTAAACCAATACTGACTGAAGTCTAAGAAATGATCTAACACTCAGTCTTGTTTAAAAGGATTAGACTGTCTACAGCACTTCCTTCAATCCATCAACTACGCGTATGCGGCGTTGTAAATACAATGGTGTATCGTAATATCAATTTCACAAAATAAAATAAAAATATAATATAAAATTGTTCCCTGAATAATATAACTTGGGCCTTTTTAAGGCGAGAGTGAATAGGCATTATTTAGGTGAGCATTCTGCATATCGTCACTTTCCATCAGGTGAGATTGAAGTGAAAGGCGCACTTATTTTTTAATAAAAAGGAAATAAAAGGACAATATTGTCAATAATAAAGCGACGAAATTAATTAATTACTAATTTATTGCATTGGCTGTAGAGCCATCAACTTAAAACACTAAACTTTTTGTAGCAGTAGTCTTTGTGTACTACTGCCACCTTACCTATTTCTGCCGCCAAGCAGTAATGTCAACATTACTGTGTTCCGGTTTTGAAGGGTACGCGGGTGCTGGTGAAATTACATGGAACTTTTCAATTTATGTCTCAGGGTGACGGGCGCAGTGGCAGTGCCCTTTGAGCGGCACTGCAACTGTTAAGGACAGGCGTGATACTTACCACCAGGCGCACGTATCATAAAAAAAACTACCGGTGGCAAAGGAAAACATCGTGACGAAACCTGCGTATTGAAGACAGTTCACAACCCTCAGAAAACGTGTCAAGTCTATAGACTATAACCCGTATCAAGAACCGGCGGAGCGGACTATAGCATGAATGCTATTCTGCCGTCCACTAACCAAAACGCGGCTATGTGACAAATGGTCAAATATCCGTTTTAAATAGCAAAAGATAGAGCACAAAATTCTCTTTGAAAAACAGTTGAAATTAATTAACGTGTTCGACTTATCGGAACTTACTTGAAATATCATTTAACAATTTGAGTTATGGTTATTATTATGGTATTCTTGGAGGAGACCCGTGTCTAGGACTGGGATGTATAAAGGATGGATAGTAAGACATTCTCTAACTAACTTTCCTACATTGACTCGGGTCTGGGTGTATGTGGTACGGGTCGTTGTGTCCAATTTCCATAACACAAGTTCTTTAGTTACTTTTGCTACACGCCTGTCCATAACAGTTGCAGTGTCACTCAGAGTTTTTAATCGCAAATATCTGAATGACACTGCCACTGCGCCCGTCACCCTGAGACATAAGTTGACAAGTCCCGTGTGCCTGCAATTACACTAGCACCCCTTACCCTTCAAAACCGGAAGAAAGTAATGCTGACATTACTGCTTGGCGGCAGAAACAGGTAAAGAAGCAGTACTTCCCTGGACGAACTCTTTCACAAGGAGCTCTAATGCTACTAACTTGCTTAGGGATCAAAGCAACGTATGCGATGTTGTTTAATGTTTATTTTTATATTTATTTAATTAACTATATTCTACAAGAGAATCATTTTACATATAACAATTTACTCTTAATATAACGTATGTTTAATATAATCTGTCAAATAATATAAATATAATATAGTATTCGAACGTTACCCTGGGGCATCGTGCCCAGAAGGCTGGCAATATTTTCCATGTATTTAATGAAGATGTATGTACCCAGATTTCTTGTTCTTTTGACCTAGGTAAGTCGCGCCTATAAACGCATCTCAACAGAAATAACAACGTCAAATTAAGCAACATAATGTCAACTTACTTAGGCGCGGGCTCTCCTTCAGCCTCGCACTCGATGATGAAAGGCTTGTCGACCTCACCCGGCTGTGCCACCTGGAACAGCTGCTCTTTCAGTGGCGGTTGCTTCACCATCTTAGGCGGCGATGTTACTGTTGACAAAAACCTGATTAGGCATAGGGCTCTGAAGGCATGTAACAGAATTATTCAATACACTCCTGATGTAAATATTAAAATTTGGTACCAGTACCGAGTTAAAAAGCTTCATGAGTTCTTTGCATACTTTGCTGTACTATTTTATTATTAAGCTGAGTTTAATTAAATTAAGTGCAGGCCACACCGCGAACGAAGCCGGGGCATCTATTCATACTTCGGTTCACACCGCGAACTAAGCTAACCGAGTCTGTTTTTTGCGTGGGGAAATTCTCCTAGGATACCTCTCCGCTAACTTAACTAACCCAACGATGCCGCTAAGTTATGTAAAATATCGTCGCTTTACTTTCTCTAACTTATCTTAAAGCGCAAAATTACTGAAATGCAAAAAAATGGATTGTATATACAAATTTTGCAGGATAATTTCATATTCACACACTGGCTTTTACCTATTCTTAAAGTAAAGCATCCAAATTAACATCCTTGATAAGAAATTTAAAATAAATAGAAAGTTTTGCCATCTCCTGATAGTCACTCTTTATAAGATACGAGTTTGAGGCAGTAAGGCATCGATATATCGCCCTTCTGCCGCCCTACAACTCCACACGTATCCATAGTGTAGCACTTATCTATTTACTACGTATTCTTAGCTTAACTTTGCATGCAGCTACGTGAGCTAAACTAAGTTAGCTTCGTTAATATAAGTACGACATTTAATATTAGTCTGCTTTTCACAGAGCTATCAGTAATGTTACTGGTAGTTACAACGACTTTTTTATTACTTATCTTGTCAGTCAGTTAAAACATAAAACTCATAGTAATTTATATATAATAATTATTTTATGAAACAAACTTATTGTATGAGTTAATAAAGACCGTCAACCTCTTCTCAATATTAATTGCGTTAAAGATTGTTAACAAGAAATTGATTATGGAAAAAGAATTATTGAAATCAATAATATCCATGTACCAGTTGACATACACTTTTTTTAATAGTATAATATTTTACTGATTATTATATTTGAATGCACTGAAAAAGCCTTCTCGTGGCGCACACCAGTAACAGCTGGGTAGGGTAACGCCTGCCTAGACTGGCTAATCTTTCTAACACGATGCTTCAAGCAACTTACGGAGTTAATTAATAAGTTATTTAGAAATATAAACATCTAAAAAAAAGTACATATATTGACGTCCTAAAGAAACGTCAGGGTAATCGATAAGGATGTGTGAAAGCATTGTTGCGCGTTGATGACGCGAAAAGCGTGTCAGGATCGTACAAATGGAAGGCTGTGGTCTCTACCTACCACGATGGGAAAAGGGCGTAAAGTTATGCAATCAATTTGTCGCATTATCCCACTTTGTTTGTTTAAAAACATATATCTAAAAAAATATCAAAGTTAGAGACCTACCAACAGCATTTGATCAGAACTGTTTAGCAATGTCTAACTAAAATTGGCATAGTTTATCATTACAAACTTATTTTTATCTGTGTGTGACATCCAGAGTGACGTTAGTGTCATGTCGACGCTGGAAACGTACATTCGAGAATATTACATGAAAGCGAATTAACGTAATTTTTTTAAGAAAAAAAAAAACATATCTCTAATTTTATTTGTTATATGGAAAACTAGACAGAATCACCTTTTCCATATAATAAACAAAAAAAAGTTATGATTTTTTTTCTTAAAAAAATAATTTTAAATCAGTCTCATGTAATATTTTGCAAATCGACGCCTTACTTTCTCAAACACGTATCTTATAAAGAGTGGTTATTCAGGAGATGGCAAAAATTTATATTTATTTTAAACTTCTTATCAAGGATGTCAATTTGGATGCATTACTTTAAGAATAGGTAAAAGTCAGTGTCAGTCAGTCAATATGTATATACAATAAATTTCAGTTACTTCGTTTTTTAAGATACGAGTTTAAAAAAGGAAGACGACGAAATGCATATTAGACATTTTACCTTTCCAGTGTCATATTATGTAACAAAACCCCTGGAGTAATCATTAACATAGAGCTGAACGCCCGTTACTTAAAATACACAAAATTCACCAACAAATATCGAGTCACATCTTGCTATTCACAAGCGAGATGTCATTTTGGAAACCGACACGGCACAATGGTATGGCATATAATTGGGTGAAAAGATAATCAATTCTAACAAGCTTTATAAATAAATCACTTACATAACTCTAAGTACTATAATACCCACAATAGGAATATATACAGCAGATCTTAGCAATATACAGCCCACACACAAAGGTCAAAATACCACATAGGTGAATAAGCATGTCATACTAAATACAATGTATGACATCAAAAATCTAATCATAGTTACAGCAAGGACAAAATAATATAGCCAAATGGTGTCCTGGAACTCTGCCAGTCCATAAGATTGAGATTTTAAATTGTGATAAGATTGAATACTTATTATACAGAATAGGCACTGAGCTTAGATTGTGTTAAATAAGAACAATATTGAGTCCTTAGGTTTTCAGGATGGTTACACATAGGAAACACAGAGTCAGCCGTGACCAAGGGACCTATAAAGGGCCACAAACTTTGGTTTGTTTGAAAAAACAAATATACATACAACGTAAGTTAGATCTGAAAAAAATAGTTTTTTCCTAAATAAGAATGTCAAAGTTGTTCTCTCTTATAGAACTATATTATTAGCATGACTTATTTGGGGCCAGAGGAGTTCTTCATCACTGGGATCATCTATTGTGATAATTAGGACTTATTTAGGGCCAGTGGAGTTCTTCACCACAGGGATCCGCAATTGATCTATTGTGATAATTAAGACTTATTTAGGGCCAGTGGAGTTCTTCACCACAGGGATCTGCAATTGATCTATTATGATAATTAGGATTTATTTAGGGCCAAGGGAGTTCTTCATCACAGGGATCTGCAATTGATCTATTATGATAATTAGGATTTATTTAGGGCCAAGGGAGTTTTTCTTCACAGGCATCTGCAATTGATCTATTGTGATAATTAGGACGTATTTAAGGCGAGTGGAGTTCTTCAACACTGGGATCTGTAATTGATCTATTGTGATAATTAGGACTTATTTAGGACCAGTGGATATATTCATCACTGGGATCTGCAATTGATATTGCGATAATTAGGACATATTTAGTGCCAGTGGAGTTTTTCATCACAGGGATCTGCAATTGATCTATTGTGATAATTAGGACTTATTTAGGGTCAGTGGAGTTCTTCATCACAGGGATTGCAATTGATCTATTGTGATAATTAGGACGTATTTAGGGCCAGTGGAGTTCTTCAGCACAGGGATCTGTAATTGATCTATTGTGATAATTAGGACTTATATAGGGCCAGTGGATATCATCATTACTAAGATCTGCAATTGATCTATTTGCTTTGCTTATAACTCAGTCAATGCAATAGAATAAAAGAACTGTAGAATTTTTTAGTTTTGCTTTATTTTTATGAAAAGTAGGGAGCAAATAACAGATGAGCCACTTGACTGGAGGTGGATGAAAGCGTCGCCCATGGACATCTGCAACATCAGAGATGCCTATGCGTTGCTAGCCTTTGAGAGCCCTGTTGACTCGTTTTTTGAGAACCCCATGCAATAGCGGGAAAGAAATACTTCAAGAGCTACCTCCTTCTTCTCTTCCATTCCACATCTTGTAGGTTCAAGGAAAGAACTAATGTGAAGCAAGTGTGATCTTACAGTGACAGGCATCAAGGATGTGAGGATGGGCTCTACTCCTTTGGCAAGAGTGCAGGCACCAGTCCGAAAAATTCCTCTGAACCCTCCTTGTTATAACCATACAGTAGAACAATAGCCAACATCTCACCATAAACTAAGGTACAGTAATGCAGATACATTTCAGAAGGCTTTAGGGCAGAATCTGCAGGCTCTGTTCTCACATAGCTCAAAGAGTAACATAGTCCAATTAATATGTATTTGGAGGATTTTCGTGTCCATTGCCAGAGCGTCTACAGTGTTTTGGTGGTGTCTCTGTGGTCGAACAGTTACCGTGCCAGACTGCCACGCAGAGATCCCAGGCAGGGAGAAATATTTGTATGGCCTATGGGCATAATTTGTGGTTGTCTATGTGTGTCCATGGCCCCCGTGACACAGACTTTCCCTAGTGCGGAGTTATTAAAAAACTAAAAAATTTTTAGTCTTGAATACCATTGCATTGCTTAGTCTGCAACAGTCACAATGGCAAGACATTTAGCACTGGTTCACATAAGTGCAGCTGTTAAAGCCCTAATAAATTATGATAATGGTATGATAATAATAGAAAGATTCAACTACAAAATAGATACTCAAGCTCACAATAACCAAAGAGCCACAGCAAAAGGAACATGACCTTAATATATATTCAAATATTATATCAAAACTGAATTTATGATCCATGCATAATTGAGTTTTTTTAGTTATACTAGAAATAATTTATTTTTATGACATTGAAATTGGACAAAAGTCACATTGATACCGTAAGGAAAAAAAATAAAAGTCAAACGAAAACATGTAAATATAAAAGAAAAGTGAAAAACAAAAATCCTTAAACCTTTCTGGGAAGACCTAACATCAATAACACATTATTAATAAAACATAGGCTTTTACACCCTTTCTCACCCAGATCGTCAATATTGTTTATTGCTTGTAGTAAATAAATTTCAACAATAGTAGTAGAAATACACGAAATGTTTTTTTAAGCTTTGAAAAAGCATTATACATAATACACAAAAAGAAAATAAGCATACAACTACTTATTATAATAACCTTTTTTCATTTATGTTACACTTTAAAAGATACATAGAACATTTCAACCATGAAAATAGGCAAAGTATGTGGCAATTCTAAATGAACATGGGCAATAGTTTATTGTGCGTGCCACTTACGTTCATTGACGCAATTTTCATACAATTGTGTAGAACTATGTCAATAATACGCAAACTATATAAAAGATCATGGCATAAATTTAATTTATGAATCCGAAAACTGGACTCGACAGTCGAAAGAAAGTTTGAGCGTACGAGACGCGTGTAGGCGGTCATCAATCATACGTCCGATAGATAGGCCCATCTATCGACTATTAAAGAAAAAGTTGAATGAACTTCCGGTTCCTAGTGAACTTAGTGGCTGATAACAGCACAGCAAAGCTTCTGGTCACTGATAAAGAGTGATAAACAGTGAGAAAGATACTTACGTAGTGCCGCCGCCGTCGACACCAACGCCAATAAACACACCACTCTACAGGTAACCATCGTTGCTTCAGTCCGCTGGCCGCCACAATCTAACAAGAAACCAAACACGCTTTCTTTAGGTACACCAAAATCACATTTCCCCGGCACACATGTTCACCACACTCGATGACCTAATCCGAATAAAGCTTCGCACAATGACAACACCCACTAAAAATAGTAACATCAAAATTCAACAAATTATACTCAAGTAATGACACAAAACTTTATGATAACGACTAAATAATGCACTTAGAACATTTATTACCTTCCAATTACACTATTTCATGACAAAGTAATTCTAAAAAACCACATAAATATCACTATTGTTGCCTTAAGACGGTAAATCAATAATTAGTTTCCGATACTGAAAGACCTATTGGTCAGACACTAAAATGAACGTTACGCCGAAACTAGTAAAGCATATTACCTAGATTCCTGTTTTATACTAATAACATCGCGGTATAAAATAGCTGAAATAATAAAAATTACAGATATATAGGCGGGGCCTCCGAGATTGTCGGCCGTCGTTCGTTCGTTCAAAAACTAACTGATCAGAGACAAAAAGCCGAGTAACGGCGCGGCCAACACAAGATTTTGTCTCTTTCTCTCAATAGCATTTCTGTATCTTTATATCTTTCTTCAGCAACGAAGCATAGACTCTAAAGACAAATAGGAACGTTTGGAAATAAACACGATTCGCGCAGATTTGCATTTTGAAATGGAACTTTCCTTATATTATATATTTTGTTTTTATCCTGTAGATTTTCTAAACATTAGAACCTAATCGAAAAGGCGTTTTCAAGAATTCTAGCGTATGTTCTAATGTATCTCCAGAGAACTTTCACCCTTCAAGCCTATATTTTTTGAAGTTTAAATAGGCCAAATGCCTAAAACGAATCAACTGAAAAGCCGCGAATTTCAAAAATAGAATGAGTTTGTGAAAAGTTAAAAAGATTCTTTAATATCGTATAGGTCGTCATCGTCATACTTCTAGTTTTGCCTCATAATAGAAAGTTTATTCTTTATTTTTTTCCATCCTCTAAGGTTTATTCCATCCTCTTTAACACTTATCTATGATTAAAAAAGTCATCTAAAAACATCTATGTCTAAAAATCATGTTCATTTTTTTTTCTATCCTCTTTGATGATCATGTCGATAACGCCATCGGCACAGAAATAACAAAAATTTAAATTTTTCGATTATCTGTAAGTACGAACTTTGGCTACGATATACCTGATTCTTCCAATGGCTACTTATACAATGGGTGTGATACGCTCAAGCAGTCCTAATTTTCAGTTCACATGTGTCAACGCTTACGACAAATTGAGCAGGCGCTCTGTTAGTCTTTTGCCGTCTTTATGCTTTTTTCCATAGTTATTGAGTCTTATACAAATTTTATTTCAGCTACTTCAAAATACCGCGTTACGAAATCATTAATATGTGTAAGTATTTCAGTTGGATATGTTGTTGGAAATAATTTTTCATTATATCTTTCATGCATTTGTGCGTAGTAGGAGCTATGTTTGTAATTTAATTGCAACTCCTCAGGTGACACTAAGGAAAAGCTGACCCAAAGTCACAGCTTGTATTCCACATTACCTTTAACAAAAAAACACACTGAAAATGTTTGGAAATCCGACATATATTTGGTTCCACCCAACGATTTGACTAACTTAATTGGAGGTCATGATGTGTTTACGGGTATTTCGAATTATATTAAACCTCCAGGAGAATATTATAAAAGATATGAACACGATGAAATGCCTGTTAAGGAGTCGAGTTTGAGTAATTCTCACTCTGGTAACAAGCAGGGACACGAATATAACGGAATAGTCTCACTTACCAACGCAACTATACTCAAAAGTAAGTCAGAGAAACTCGATACTGATAATTCATACAGCAGCTTGGAGTCGAATATAAAGTTTTTCAGAACAACAGTTCAGCAAATCTTTGACAACTTTTATTCGACAATGCAGGATTTTGAATTGTATAAACAGAAATTTCAATTAATTCTTCAAAAGAACAAGGCGGAATCTATAGCTGAAATGGAAGATTTCATAAAGGATATGATACAGCACATAATGTCCTCTGATTCAGTAAGCAATTACAATCGCGGTACAAGTATCGCTACGGAAACGAGGGATGAACAAACTGTGACAGATGGCTCTCAGTCAGAAATACCTACTCTCAGTGATGCAGTGACGGATAATGTGGAGTCCCTCTTCGAAGCTTACAAAAATGACAATTATTTAACTGATTCCGTCGTAGATGAGAAGTCAATTCCAACCAAAAGTACACAGGACGCTGTGAACACTTCTCTTCTCGGTCACGTGCCATTCTTAGAAATTAAAGTGAATGAACGTAATCAGTTATCGGAAATGTGTATTAAAGATAGTGGCAATAAAGTTGAAAATCAAGTGGCATCTGCTGAGGATCTCAAAAAATTGGCCGCCAAAAGAAAAGAATTGGATAAATATGTTAAACAGATACAAAATTATAAAGGACCCGATAGGGAAATACCTGTCAAAATTTCCTCACCAAAGAAAAATATTCATTTAGATGAAGATTTCGCTGTTCATAGGGCGAATACGGATAAATCGTTACTTGTTAAAATATGCAACTACATTTGTAAAAGATTCCGCAAGGTATACTAAAATATTGCGTCATTATTTGGACGAACGTCATACCCTGGAGGAAATGAAATGAAAAAAAAAATATTTTGATATTTTGTTACAAATTGTAGTAAAAATAAACTCGTTTTATTTTCAACAAATATTTTATTGTGGACTAGACAAATGGAATAGTATAGGAGGAACGAACGTATCACGATTCACAATTCTCTTCAAAATTCACTACATAATAATACCTAATCATGGTAATATGTTTGCACAGTTGCATAGCAAAATCTTGCTTCATATGTAAGAAAGCCTTGATAGTCTCCAAGTCTAACATAATTAGAGCTTGGCCATCAATTTCCTCCTGTTTCATCTTATCTGCGATCAGTTTACAGTCTTCAGTACTCGTCAGGTAGGTGTGGACGTCCTCGATGGACCAATCCATTGGGTTCGGGGATAATTTCAGTTTACCTTTCATCCAAGACGGCGCCGTGTCCTTTTCAAACAATTTATTGTCCGAGGGCAGAGGATCGTATGTTCTAAACTTGAGCTTTTTGAGTTCAGGTTCCTCTGAGTCGGAAACATCGGAAATATTTTTGGCGTCGCGGGAATTTGAGCTACTTTCATTCGTTTCATTTTCCGAGTCTGTGTCTGGGGAGCTCTGTTTCTTAGAGGCGCACGTATTGCTGTATATAGTTTCCACGTCTTTCTTATTCCAATGAGATTCTTTCATTTGTAACGCGAAGTTGGGGAGTTTAGCGCCGCGAGTCTTCATTTCCATTTTGGGGTAGTTATTCTTGCGCTGACGTTTCCGTCTTTGGGTCCTTTTGTATTCGACACCGCTGTCCGGTGAATTCGGCCTGGTGCCGGCTTCGGAAGGCGGCGTGGAGCCAGCGCTGTGTTCACTCTCAACTGATTCCCCATCTTTGTTACTCTCGGTTTCCTGAGACGGCTGTTGTTCTTTCTCGCGTTTCTCCGCTGGGCCCTTTTTCTTCTTCTTTCGGCCGTTGACGCTGCCTTTTGGTCTGCCACGACGCTCCGTAGAATTATCTGCACAAACAGTTACATAATTTTCTCAAAAAATTTTATAAACAGACTGACCAATTACAAAATGTCTAATTATGTGTGAAAAGTACTCACGGAACGTGGACTTGTCGACTTGCTGGCAGCTATTAGGGCAGAGGTCGGAGTACTCTACGGGGCCGAAGAGGCAGGGACAGGCCTGCAGTTTAATGCAAACTTCGCGGCAAAACGACGAGACTTGCTCTAGCGTCGTAGCTACGGGGACATAGGCGTGGTAAGTGCTGGTTTTTAGTCTGGAATTTTAATTTAAGTATGTTAAACAAAACGTGTTTGGCTATGATTTATTTTTCAGTCAGAGTAGCATGTTTATATGTATGTCAATGCTCATGAAACAGTTGAGAGTACAGCTAGATAAAGATAACTTATTTACTCACTTAGCCCTTAGCATTTCCAGCCGCATGCCTTCTTCAGGTGGTCCCTCAGTCTCCCAATCCTTCAGTAACTTTGCAGGCTTGTAAGATGCCGATATGATCTTATTCAACACTTCTTTTAGAACCAAAGACAATGGTCCAGGCCCTACATGCTTTGGCAATTGAGACAACTTATTCCTACTTATTGACGGACCAGCGTAACATTTGTAGTTGAAGAAAATCTTTTCGCACCATTCTTCTGTAACTTTCCTTTCTTCCTTTATAGGTTTCTCTTCCACTTTAGGTTTCTCCTTCTCCTCGTTAACAGCGGTAACATCGGGGATATGTAAAGCGAAATTATTGCTATCGCACCAACCCACTGGGAATAACAAATCGCTGTCCTGGGCATACCAGAACTTTTCGCCAATAGGTGTCAACTCTACGCAGACCATATGCTCTACTATAGCGTAGATTGTTGCAACATGAATTTCTTCAATATTCAAGGGATTTACTGCTTCAAGTTTCATATCGACTCTGATATCTTTCAAAGGATTTTTGTCTCCGAAGCAGTAATCGGGAGCTGGGACGGAAGACGTCATTGTGAGATATTCATCCCAATCAAATGGCCCTTCTTTCCAAATCTTCGGGATTTTAAAGGTAATATTGTGTTTTTGGGCCCAACCAATAGGATAAATGTAAGGGTGCATAGAATCACAAAGCCAGGCCATTTTGGAGTCCTCGTAGTCGTCGGCGTGGTCATCAATGGTAACTAAAAAGTGGAAATTGTTGAAGACTTTGGTAACTGTGGCTGGGCGAATTGTCTTCATGTCATGTGGTGACAAAGCCTCGAGTTTCATGCCGGTTACAAAGTTGTGCGCTTCCAGACTGATGTTTGGCTGTAAAATAAGCAATAGTCTCTGATGACTGGGAAAGATATACGTTACATAGCGAATACTATAATATACTATCGTTCATTGACTCATTCATATTATATTTTAATTACCTGAAATAGATCTGCAGGCGTAGGCTCCTTGATTGACTCTTCGGCACTCTGGCGCAACTGAGCGCTCAGTTTGTTTTTACACGAGAACTTATTTATTTTCCCTGGGTACTTGAACTGCCATGGCGAGCCCTTAAAACAAAGACCACTTGAATGAATTTAATTTATTGTTCCATATACAGTTTACAAAAATCTTAAATAACATATGAAACCCTGGCCTGGTTTCTCAACCTTTTTCAAATCATGGACCCCTCTAAAAACTTCAAAGAGCCCACGGAGCCTTTTCAAAAAAATAAAAACACGAGGTTTAGCTTTTACCAACTTTTATTGTTTGCGATTAAACTTTACGTACAAATAGTTGGCGTGACGGCTGCTGCTGCATATGCTGAATTTAAACCACGATTAAAACTTCAAAGGCGTTGACGTCTACTTACGCGCGTTTCACTCACTCCAATAATGGATGGTCGTCAAGAGGCGCGAAAATTCAAAACGGTCACGCGCACAGTACCACAAAACATATTGTATACCAATTTCTATATTAATGCATTGTAAGGTAGGCTCACCATGGTCCCGTGGCGTTTATTACACGGACTCCTTAGACCCCTAAGGAATGAACCCCATGAACCACAGGTTAAGAAACCCTAATATAGGTCCTTATTATTATAATATGATACTCTGTGGCAAAAATTCAATGAAAAAAAAAAATTAATAAATATGTACACAACCACTAATCAATACGTAAACAACAACGTAATTTATAGTAATAATGCATTACATTTACTTTTCATTACAAATTCAAAAACTACTAAAAAACGGTAAATTATGGAGTCTCATTCCTAGATAGCAAAACTTGTAAAGCACTTATTAAATATCATCGTAATTAACCATACCTAAATGTAGAATTAATAAATATTTCGTAAATTAGATGCAGAAACCTTATTCATACGTAAATTAATTACAACCATGGAAGAAAGATAAGTGAGACAAGAGAAAATAAAAAATAAAAAGAGTTAATATTGGAGAAAGGAATAAGCTTTGAACAAAGCTTAAAATAATTCAATAGACTTAGCTAAAAATCGAAGTAATATACATTATTGTCTAATTCAAAATGGATTGTTCATTCACGGCAACTGTATTGATGTTTTGTCGTTGTCCTAAACTATGCACCTTATTTCCTGGCAAATAATAAAAAATTATTATACCTAATTGTATTTAAATCCTTATATCGGAAGTAATAGTGCATAATTTAGTCCCTAAGGTATATACATAGGGCGCACTATAAGTTTCCGGAAATGGCCACTTACATAAGCAACATTTAAAAAGTAATTACAACATTTGAAAATGGAACTCTTTGGCTGTAGAATATAGTTTGTTTCATCTGACTGTCACTTGTTTTTACATTGTCGCGTCATTTTAGAAATTGGTTGTCTACATCACCATGGATTAAACTCGTGAAAATTTTCGTGGTGTGACTTTCTAGTAATTTAACAGCTCAGCGGAGTTTCGCTCGGCTTCAAACTGCTTTTGGCGATGAAGCACCATGCAAGACGACTATTTATAGCTGGTTTGCAGAATTCAAACACTGTTGTGTGAATCTCAGTGACGAATTTCGTGATAGTCGCCCGTCCACTGCTGTGAACAACAAAAACATCGATGCTGTGCGACATATGATCAAAACAGACAGGCATGTGACATACCATGATTTATCCATAGGCATCTTTAGGCATAGGCATGAGTCAAATACAATCATTACTACACAAACATTTGAGTGTGAAAAAGCAGAAAAATTTGACTGAGGCTCAAGAAACGGATCGGGTCACTTGGTGCAATGCCATGCTTATCAGATTCAACGAAGGGGCGTCGGATTTGGTGTGGGACATAGTAACAGGTGACGAAACATGGATTTATAGTTACGATCACAAAACAAAGCAGCAATCGAACATATGGGTCTTTCGAGATGAGCCGAAATCATCCAAAGTGACGCGCGTGCAAAGTGATGCTTTGAAGTTATTGCTTCTTTTTTTAATAAAAACTGGACACGTGGCTACTGTTGCTTTGGAGAATCGTTGTACCGTGAATAGTGATTGGTACACGACCATTTGTTTGCCGGAAGTTATTGACAAACTCCATAAAAATAATCGTAAACACAGTATCATCTTGCACCAAGATAATGCCATTTCTCACACGGCCAGACGGACAAATGAATTTTTGAAGGTGAACAACGTTGACCTTATGAGCCATCCCGCGTACAGTCCCGACCTGCCACCTTGTGACTTTTATTTATTTCCAAAAATTAAGAACCAGCCACGCGGTCAACGATTTTCATCACCTGAAGAGGCTATCGAAGAGTATGAAAAATATGTTTCAGAGATTGTCACGGAGGAGTGGCATAAATGTTTTCAAAATTGGTTCATTCGTATCAAAAGTGCATTAACGCTAACGGAGAATATTTTGAGAAACAATAAATTCATTTCTGACGATTTATAGTATTTTTCTTATTCATTCCGGAAACTTATAGCGCGCCTCACGTTTTATATTATAAATAAATGAATAAAATAATAACAATAATAATTTTAAGTTTAATATCTTTTGCTACTCGGTTAACATACGTTATTTCGTAGTTTATTTTCGGGATGAAATAAAAAATCAAGACAATAAGAAATAACACGCTTAAGGGCTAGTGCTTCCATTGTGCTTCTTGAATAGATACAAAAATTGTTTAAAATACGAAATATGTCTCTTACCTATCTCATTTTATCTTTACTTGCAGATACGAGGGGCATACTGAAAGTTCCTGGAAAAGGCCACTTATAACAGAAAGTAAAAAAAATACGTTTTATACGGTTACTTTTTGAGCCTGTCATTTGTTATTTCATTGCGGCGTCGCGTCGTTTTGAAAACTGTGAGTCGCAATTACAATTATTTTCAGTCGTGAAAGTTTTCTGTCCATAATTTTCGATGTGGCATAAATTAACAAGAGAATTGTTAGAGAATTCAATTTTTTTAAACTTTTTCTTTTATAATATAAAGTGTCGGGACGAACATGTCGTGCGCCTGATGGTAAACTACACGCCTGTTCATAACAGTTGCAGAGCCCATAAGAGTCTTAAATCGCAAAGATCTGAGGGGCACTGCCAATGCGCCCGTCACCCTGAGACATAAGTTGACAACTCCCATGTGCCTGTACTTTCACCGGCACCCTTACCCTTCTAAACCGGGGCGCAGTAATGCTAACATTACTGTTTGGCGGCAGAAATAGGTAAGGTCGCAGTACTTCCCTGGATGAACTCTTTCACAAGGAGCTCTACCTTCAATTACCATTTGGTAATGAAGCCGTTAGCGGAATCGTCGCGCAAAACGACGGAGCCATATCCACATAAAACTTGACTTGACATGTCGTATCTCATTCTATTCGGGGTTCAGTGAATTTACACGTCGTGAGCGTCTCCATGACGATGTACTTGAAAGTCGACCGCCAACTGCAGTTACCAAATTTAATATTGATACAGTACGACAACTTATTGAAACTGACAAAAAAAATCACTTGTCAGCAAATTCATACTGTATTAGACATTAGAATGAGCCAGGTGCAAAGGATATGTGTATCTGAAGGTTCGGAGACTTTGCATTCGATAGATACCGCATAGTTCAACGGAATATCAGAAACGACTGCTTGGAGAGTAGTGCCGTAAAATAATAAAGTTTAATGGAGGACAATCATTGGCTGTGTATAATATTGTGACCGGTGACGAAACCTGTGGTGTACTGCTTTAGAAAAGAAAAAGGTCTTCCTTTTTAAAGATTTGCCGACGAAACTTTTTTTTTTATAAAACCAAGTGACGGAACGAACAAGTTGTTTGGTCCATAACAATTGCAGTGCTTTTCAGAGTGCTTTAAATCGCAAAGATCTGATGACCATTACCACTGCGCCCGTCACCATGTGCCCGTAATTTCACCAGCACCCTTGCCCTTCAAAATGGAAACGCAGTAATGCACACATTACCGCTTGGAAAAAAAAGTTAAGAAAAGTGGAAGCACTGACAAGAAAATGGTTGCTTCTTTCTTCAGCAAATCAGGACATTACACTACTGTATCGCTTGAAGACCAAAGACCACTGACTGCAGGTTGGTATGTAAATACCTGATTGCCCAGTGTTAGAAAAAGTTCATGAAAAGCGTCCTCGAAGCAATATCGTCTTTTACCACGACAACGCGTCTGCACATTCCGCAAGGTACCGAATCCGTATTTGAAGGCCTCAAATGTGGAGCTGATGACCCATCCGCCATACAGCCTAGGCCTTCCACGATGCGACCTCTTTTTATTACCAAAAATCAAAGATAAAGAGGTCCCTACGGAATACTAGACACACTGCTGTTCAATGATTCCAACGAATGCAAAATATGGGAATAGTGAGGGCATATACTTTAAAAAACAATAATACTTATATTATAAACATAATATCTGGTCCTACTTATCAGAATCCAGAAACTTTCAGTGTGGCCTAAGTATAAAAATACGCTAAATAGGCGGTACGAAGTCGAGTGCGTACACCAGCCCGTTACAGCACCCTATACCGAAGCTCACCTTGCTAGTAACAAAACCAAAACTGCTCAGCCTTGGATTGCAGAAGAATATCCAGAATTGCTGCAGGTCTTCGTCACAGCCGTCGTAGCGCAATAATAAACGGCCGCCCACGTTTTCGCACACCTGTAAACAGATAATACACAAACATAAATGACCAGGATTGTGATTGTTAGGTTGGCAATACGCCAAAGTTGTAAAAGATAAACAGAGGAAAATAAATGCCACTGTAACAGCAGTTTACTGTTTATTTAAAATTAAAAGCCGTGGTAGCCTAATGATTTGACCTACCGTGAAGCTGTGAGTTGGAATCCGGATTCGCACCTTGTGTTTTCGGAATTTTGTGCGAAATTTTATTTGACCATGAGCTTTTCGGTGAAGGATTTTTTTAATATAATATCAAGCATCGATTATATAACCAGAAATAGAGACGAAATAAGGGCCATATATTCCTGGTAACACATTAGCGATACAGCTCTTATAAATATCAACTCTCGTTTGCACTGAAATATAGACAGGCCAGCTACTGACCTGCGTACGTCTCCGTATATTCCAAAAAATATTCTGTATTTATTGTAATAAAGATAATATTTCTAACAAAGCCGTGCTGTTCTACTCGGTGATGTAGGAAAAACAGCAAAACATCTAATTACAAAACAAACGGAATCACATTTCATCGGTAATTACATATTAAATATGTAATTTTGCAATTTTCGTCCATTCCAGCAAAGCTCGAGTTAATTGGTCGATTTGAAGTGAAACAGTTGCGACACCCGTCAATTGTTTCGAACTCGGGCTAGCCAATCGGAGCGCAGTTGTCACAGTAATGATATGGCAGAATAGTTTTCAAACAAATTAAATGACATTTCGTCTCTATTTCTGGTTATATACTCGATGATATCACGTGACGGGACGAACAAGTCGTGCGCCTGGTGGTAATCGACACGCCTATCCACAACAGTCGCAGTGCGATTCAGAGCTTTAAATCGCAAAGATCTTATGGGCACTGCTACTGCGCCTGTCACCCTGAGACATAAGTTGTGTCTATAATACCACCAAAATTGTGATGAAACTAGCACGTCAAAGAAGGTTTACAACCCTTGAAAAACGTGTGAAGTCCTCAACCCGCGTTAGGCCTACGTAGTGGACTATAGTCTAAATCCCCGCCTGAGAGGAGACCCGTGCCCAGCAGTGGGACGTATAAAATAGGTTGATGATGAAACGAAAATTAGAAAATATTAGTATTGTAGTTGTTATTCCATTTTATAGTCCTGCTATTTTCGATATAGCCGTAGGACTGTTATGTTCCTCATCTACATAGGGCGCACTATAAGTTTCCGGAACTGGCCACTTACATAAACAATATTTAAATATTTGAAAATGGAACTCTTTGGCGGTAGATTACAGTTTGTTTCATCTGACTGTCACTTGTTTTACATTGCGGCGTCATTTTAGAAATTGGTTGTCTACATCACCATGGATTTGACTCGTGAAAATTTTCGTAGTATGATTTTCTACGAATTTAAGTGTAATTTAACAGCTCAGCGGAGCTTCACTCGGCTTCAAACTGCTTTTGGCGATGAAGCACAATGCAAGACGACTATTTATAGTTGGTTTGCAGAATTCAAACGCAGTTGTGAGAATCTCAGTGACGAATTTCGTGATGGTCGCCCGTCCACTGCTGTGAACAACAAAAACATCGATGCTGTGCGCCGTATGATCAAAACAGAAAGGCATGTGACATACCATGAGATTCAGGCATCTTTAGGCATAAGCATGAGTTAAATACAATCAATACTACACAAACATTTGGGTGTGAAAAAGCTGTGCTCTCGGTGGATCCTACACAATTTGACTGAGACTCAAAAAACGGAACTTGGTGCAATGCCATGCTTACCAGATTCAACGAAGGGGCGTCAAATTTATAGTTAGGATCTTAAAACAAAGTAGCAATCGAACCCGGTATCGAATACGGTCTTTGGAGACGAGCCGAAACCAACCAAAGTGGCGAGCGTGCAAAGTGCCTCTAAACGGATGATTGCTTCTTTTTTTAATAAAACTGGACACGTGGTTACTGTTGCTTTGGAGAATCGTTGTACCGTGAATAGTCATTGGTACACGACTTTTTGTTTACCGGAAGTTATTAACAAGCTCCGTAAAAATAACCATAAACGCCGTATCATCTTGCACCACGATAATGCCAGTTCTCACACGGCCAGATGGACAAATGAATTTTTGAGGGTGAACAACGTTGACCTTATGAGCCATCCCGCGTACAGTCCCGACCTGGCACCTTGTGCCTTTTATTTATTTCCAAAAATTAAGAACCAGTTACGCGGTAACCGATTTTCATCACCTGAAGAGGCGGTCGAAGTGTATGAAAAATATATTTTCAGAGATTGTCATGGAGGAGTGGCGCATAAATGTTTTCAAAATGGGTTCATTCGATTTAAAAAATGCATTAACGCTAACGGAGAATATTTTGAGAAACAATAAATTCATTTCTGACCATTTATAGTATTTTTTCTTATTCATTCCGGAAACTTATAGTGCGCCACACGCAGGGCTGGGCAGTATTTGAATTACTTGTATTTGAAATACGTATTT